TTAAAGGTGAGAAAGGAATCGGGTTTCTATTCAATCAAGAAAAGGCTTTTGATCGGATACAGCATGTCTTCATTTTTAAAACTTAAAAAATGTGGCTTAGTCCGAAATATAGTCAAGTGGATTTAGGATAATGTATAAAAATATTACATCTAGAATAATAATAAACGGAGTATTGACAAGTGAAATTGATAAAGAAAGTTCAATAAGGCAAGGCTGCCCTCTATCAATGTTACTTTATCCTATAGTGATAGAGTCCCAGAATATAAATATAAATAAAAACATTAACAGGGGTCAAGCTACTAGGCAAAGTAGGCGAAAAAGTCGCCTGAGAAGAGTAAACTTCGCCTTTTTCCGTTAGGAAAGCAAAAACAACCTCGCCCCGATTTTTCGGATGTAAAATTACTGTACATTTTGAGATGCTCCTTCGCTCTAGCCAGTAAGTTCGGGCACTGTGGTAACCCAAGGCCAAATGTAGGAACGCGGGGTTGATACCAATCAGCTTAAGGGGACCAAGAAATTCTTGACACATTCCCCTGCAAGTTTTACGGGGAGTTGATACCAATCAGCTTTATGGGGACAAAGAAATTCTTGGCACATTCCCCGTAAGTTTTACGAGGTGTTGATACCAATCAGCTTTCGGGGGACAAAGAAATTCTTGGCACATTCCCCTGCAAGTTTTAATAGCTAAGTGACCATTAACCCTTTTTTGGTGCAAGATATCACTTCTCGATTTCGTGAATTTGGGCCTATTGTGCGATTTAGGCACAGGAGTCTGCAGTTTTATCCATAAATTTCCGAAGACATGAAAACACCTTAACGCTATTATAAATTAACCCCAGGAATGCAACGGTGACCACAATCCTCCGCTGATTCCACTTTTCTCATCGCTTCAGAATCGTAAGAAGACTGAAAACTACACAGATCCAGTCAAAAAAGCAGTAACGTACCAAAACATCACTCTCGGACGACCATCGCATGAACCCAATCCAGTTAATTAACTTTATTTTCATCATTACGGTCACAAATCCTGAACAGCACAGTCATTACTAGTCCGAGTTTCCTCTGACCCTTGACACCCCATTTTTGATATTTGGTTTTTTATGTTGGGGTGTAGGGTCCGAGTCTATTAACTATCAAAAACTTGGAATTTGCCGACACCATTTGGTGTCGGCATAGGGTACTTGCCAACTATTCGGCCTAGGAAACTTAAATGACCTTACATTGACCCATAATTACATTAAATCGATCGGGAAATCATTTATCTTCCCAGAAATTACAAGCATAACACGATTTTGTCTTTAATCCGTTGTCAGACGAGACGTAACTACAGCGTGGATGAATTTTGACCTCGTTCGCACTATTTTCTTTGCTAGTCACATGACTAACTAAATCTCGCAGCCGATATGCATTAAAAACAAATATAAACATATATGCAATTATTTTTCTTATTTTTATATTATTATGTATGATCTTCTTGGTAAAATGGTACATTAACAATGATTTTATTCATGAAAATAAGCTAATTATGCTTATTTTTGCTCTAGCATACCTACCTTGCTATGAGGCATGTTTGGGTGAGTAGTGACCTTCATTATGGGGAAATTAGAAGTCTTAGAATATAGAAATAAAGTCAACTTAAATTGAAAAATGTTGCAATAAATAACAGAAATACATAGTGAAAATGTTTCATTTAATTTATTTGCAATGAAATTAAAAAATAAATGATAACAAAGCAAATCTGCTTTCTTCCATATCAAAAAATTAGTTAATATTTTACCCGTTGACCTTTGACCTTTATGAACCTCACCTGTAATATCCCTTTTGTAACTGTAAAATTTATTGTTGACATTTTAGGAATAAATATGGTTAGTTTCATGTTCCTGTCTATCAGCATAACACTGGTTGCTATGTTGACAAAATGCAATGCACATTTTTAAAATTGTTCACTTTATATCATAAGATGGGGGGGGGCTGTACCGGTTTAAGACTCTGACTCTAATAAATGTTGTTCTGAGGGGGAAAATATAGGACAATTATTACAAAGGACTGTTTTGATGCTTGTAACTTAAATATTTCAGCCATACAATCAAAACTAAATCATACAATAATAATTTCTATATACTCTTTATGGTGGCGCTCACCAGTTATTATGTACTTTTGAGAGAGTGATGTCTGTAAGGTAAAGTTGTTTGCATTTTAAACATGCACAGTGGAGAGAATGTTGGCATACCTATATACTACTTTCATGTAATGTGGATGAAATTTCTTTGGATATTGTACCTTTGGAAATTTAAAATGAGCTTAGGACACTGCGAACTAAAATGACTGCTCCCTTGTGCTCCAAAAATCAACCAAAATTTGTCTAAAGTACACTATTCTTGGCAGCTATTAAAATATGGAAAATGAATTTTGCCAAACTAGATAATACCAGCTTCTAAAAGTGCAATGACTGAATTACCAAATACATAAAATGTAAAAAAAAGTTATCGGCTCTTTTTTTACAATTTACCTCTGAAGTTCGAGAAGTGAAAATGAGCAAGTAGAGCTAGCACTTTTTTGAAAGATGCACATCTGCAGTAAGGTCAAGCTGTATACTCTCTAACCCATATTACAACCATCAATCATACATCAAAATAAAGGGAATTAAAGGTTCTTTGAACAATACCTAAGATATACAAAGTCTCTTTTAAAACACCAGTATAACTAGTGAGGAAACCCGGGGAAACTCTTTTCCTTTAAAATTTTAACCCTATGCTAAATACGAAACTGTTGATCGCCACCTAAACGTCATAGGTCAAATAGTCACGTGATAACAACAAAAACCGCGTTTTCCCATACCCCTTGTGGAAGACGGCAAATGTGTCACCTTCATTGATAACTGATTTTATTACATTATACTGTAGTTCTTCAATATTAAAATAGTATCCCTTTTCTTAAAGTATCTCATTCGCAAGAACTTCCGTGTATTCGTTTTTACCTGCCATGTTGCAATATAGGTTTATGCACAAAAACTTCCATTCCAGTATTGCAGAAAAAGGCATAAACTGAAAAATATTGAATGAAAGTCACGCAATGTATACAATAACAAGAAAAAAAACCCACGTATTATTCAACATATTAATTGGGATAACAGCAGCCCTAAGCATGTCGCTGTCGCATCTTCATGGAAAGAGGCTGACTGATCACGCAAAAACTACATGTCAACGCTCTTTGTTGTTATCACGTGACTATTTGACCTATGACGTTTATGCACATCGGCTGCGAGATTTAGTTAGTCATGTGACTAGCAATTAAAATGGTGCGAACGAGGTCAAAATTCATCAACGCTGTAGTTACGTCTCGTCTGACAACGGATTAAAGACAAAATCGGTGTTATGCTTGTAATTTCTGAGAAGATAAATGATTTCCCTATCGATTTAATGTAATTATGGGTCAATGCAAGGTCATTTAAGTTTTCTAGGCCTTATAGTTGGCGAGTACCCTATGCCGACACCAAATGGTGTCGGCAAATTCCAAGTTTTTGATAGGGAATAGACTCTGACCCTACACCCCAACATAAAAAAACCATATATCAAAAATGGGGTGTCAAGGGTCAGAGGAAACTCGGACTAGGTCATTACCGGAAGTAACCCATTTGTACCGCGGGCTAAATAACTTCATGAAACTAATTTTACAAGATAAAATGTTTAACTTATTTTTTTAGATGGCATCATGTAATAATTTTTGTATAAATTTCCTAATCAGAAATACGTAGTTAACGTTCTGATAATACAAATAACGGTTGATGACGGCATCACATTAAAATATTAGAGCCTAGTATTAAAAGAGAACAGATTCTGCGCCGTGTTCGGAACGATTATTAGACTCTAACGCATATTTACTGCAGGGTAAAAAATAGTAGTAGTGATGATGATGATGATGATGATAGTCTCTGTACATGCTGATGTTCATGATGATGATGATGTCAGTAGGGCGCAGGACAGTCCTAAGGTCTTTATTAATTGCATATTCATTTCTTCGTCGACAACCTATGTACCAGACTGATTTCTAAGTATTCCATGGCAGAAAACTCCCATAAACTTCTGATTTCCAAATAGTTCACAAGTATCTCACACAGACTGTCCTCATTTTCTCATATTGTTTTATATTACTCGGCTATGGGCCCATTTGTTTTGTTCTTTTCTTCTTGCCTTGAAGAGTACGATCACAGTGTATATTTACTTTGTTTTTCTTCTGTCCCATACGATGTATGTAAGACCAGGTACCCAACGCAAAACGTACCTCTCCTGCACGATCGAAAGCAATTTCTGCAATTTCTTATTAGGGGCAATAAACACTTGCTTTACCATACATAAATAGGAACTAAACGGATAAAAAAAAAAATTGAGGAATCCTTCTTCAACACCTTATACGCCTTTACAATGGTCATTACTACAACCTTGGTCCAAGTTATAACCACCTACATTATCACATATTTCCCTCTCCTAAAACTAAGACCTATTATACGGTCGAAACCACTCAACTACGTGCCGATAGAATACCACAGATTACCCGAAGGCAAGAGATTAACCTAAGTTCTAATACAACCAAATGCCGGAACGTACGACAATTGAATCCGACACAATCGATTACATCACATTACTAAACAAAAATACCTTACGTTACATTCCCTTAAATTACTAACCAATAAAATGCAACAAAAAGAGAATACAGTGAAATACATGGCCATCTAAACCATTTGCATTATAAACAGCCATACGTGAATGTATGCATGCATTAATACATACATTCGTACATACATACGGACGGACAAACATATTCTTTTCTAATAAAGAAGAAATGCGGGTGCCATAAAATCATCTCATGCGTCCATAAGCAATAAATGGAGTACTGACACATAGACCATTACAACTTACCTAACCACCACCACCCCTAGGTATACATACGTTGTTAATTATCAGGCCTAACGCCATTCCTATCCGGTCTCATAAGCATCAACCGCTCCGGTGGCCTAGTGGTTAGAGCGTTTGCCTCAGATTCTGGAGGTCGTGGGTTCGATCCCCGTTCGAGTCATACCAAAGACTTACAGAAATGGTACTAACAGCTTCCTCGCTTGGCGATCAGCATTTAATTTAAGAGGTTAGTGTTAGGACTGGACGGCCTGGTGTCAGGATCATGTGAATGGGTGGGACATCATGCTACATGTCTGCAGCATGATGCCCCAGTGCTAAACATCACTATAAACTGCCACAATGCAGACATCGTAGCGATATGACTGAAAAATTGTTAAAGCTACGTTAAAAATCATAATCACATCACATCTCATAATCATCGTTCTTTTCTTCGAAAGCAGCAGCGACGTGAGCCGGGTTTAGACTTAAATGATTTCCTTTACAAACTGGTAACGTTCAGTTGACATGACACTGATTAATACTAGCGTGCCCATAAAACGATCAGGTTTTCATAATATTTTCTACCTCAGTAAATTAATGGGGGGGGGCAGGCAGGAATGAAATAAACATACATACTTACGTACATACGTACAAAAGAACAGTCAATCAATCATTCAAGTGCTTTGGGGCTTCCTTCGTTCGTTCTTCGAGATAGAGTCGCATATTGTCTCAATTGGCAGGAGCGACTGCTTGCGGCCCCAGGCTGGGCGGCGCTTGGCCCCGAGCTGGGCTTTTCCGGTTGTTGGGATATGAGAATGGTGCCATCACATTTCCGTGATTATTCTGACGTTCTTACCTCGCTCAACAAATGGCACACCTCGCAACGGACTCCCATCCCGCCCACAACCCCCGCCACCAAAGATCAAGTCCACCCTGCTTTATCTCAGCCGAGAAGACGTCAGTCAAATCTTACCAGTTATGCCTACATGTGTTCCTATACCTACTTTGTGTACGCAGCCTAAGCAATTGACCGAATGTTGAAGAGTTGTGAATTTAGAATACGTTTCCGTGTTGGAATTTTGCGTTTATACGGTCTGAATTACTTCCAATCAGTTGGATGTAGGCCATCCGTTACAACTTTTAGTGCCGCATAGATGAAGATAGTTGAATGATTTTGACCGCCGTCCGAAGATTCCAGTTCCAGTTCGGATTATAGTTGCGTATTGTACGCGTGTACATGTGCGACCTGGTTGCGGCCCCGAGCTGGGCTGCTGTCCCTTTAAGAGGGCGCTTGGCCTCCTTGACGGGGTATGAGTATGGTGCCATCATAGCCCCGAACTAAGCATGTAGCCCCGTTCCAATTGGACGCCCTACACTATGAGTGTATAGTTTGGGACAGCAGACAGAGGAGCCCGGGTTGTCCCAAGCTAGAGCTTGTCCGTGTCCAGGTAGAAGGGTGTTAATGGACAGCAGGAGGATGTGTCTCCTGGACTGTCCCTTACCTTTGGTACGATACCAAACACCTGTATGCCTGGGACATGGTAGGAAATCTGTGTCAGCAGGAGCTTGCCGAGGTCAGGATCCCACCCAGGCAATGCTAGTATATGTTCCTAGCGCCTGTTTGATATTCCCACCTAAGAAGGTGGGGGTGGGACAGCAGGTAGAGCTTCCTGGACTGTCCATTCCTTGATGTTTGTCTGAGATATTATCGTTGGTTAAATAGTTACATCTTTTTGAGATGATAATTGAAGTTATAACTTATTTTCATACTGGCAATGTAGTGTTGATGTCGTTATTTCTTAGTGCAGCAATTTGATGTATCTTTCTAATTCTCTTCTTCATCGTCCTCCTGTTCATGGCTTGTTAGTGATCCTTGGACGTGTGATCTTTCTGTCCTAGGATTCATTTTGTCATCGTGTCCGTGGTGTTGTTGGTGTAGGTGATATTATCGTTTTAGTAATGAAATTTAAATTAACCCCCCACTAGTTCATAAATCTATCCATATCTTTAATTTATAAACAACAATAGTTGAAAAAGTCACATCATAACCTTAAGTTAAGAAATTTACCAGGGGCTTATTTACGAAACTGGACCCTACCACTTTAAGAATTTGGCTAAAAATGGTTTATGTCAAAAGTTGTGACGGTAGAAACTACATCAATGTGCTAAAACCTTTCATTCCTTACACCAAAATAAAGCAAGCGACATGTTATATGCGTCGTTATTTCTAAGACCATTCCACTCGTGACATTCAACACTCTTAACAGTACGTTTAAGAATGATTCCTCTTAAGTCTATCTTCTCATGTGGAGTTATATTACTTTTAAGAATGCATGCTGTTATATTATGCAATTAATTCTATATGTCTGCATTGAAATGTGAATAACATTAATAAAAACAGGGGTGAAAACCTTGGCCACTACAGAAAGAGCAAGACAATACATTATGGTCACCATTTTGTTCCCATATTTAGTAAGTTAATCCAAAATATGCTACTTGGTCATGAGGTACAAAGCAGTTACTTCCCTCCTGGAGAGCATTACGGTACGAAGTTCAGGCACAAAAATGTTTAAATATACACAAAGAAACAGAAAAGTATAATAGATATGGTTGATTGCACCCCAAAAAAATGTTTTCCTTCCTAGGGGCTCTGATCGTTGCTTAGATATATTATTATAGTCAGGTACACCCTCTCGTGTTTTATGAAGGACTCATGAGTTCATCTCGTGGGGCTTCCAGCCAATCTCTTAGTTGAGGAGGGGGTGGGTATCATCCTCATCGAGGTAGGTTGAGTTTTCCGGAGCGGCGTATGGGATTAGCTTGAGGGAATTCAGGCTAATCCCTTAATTGACGGGGGTACCTGTTCCTTCAGGGGAGGTATCACTTTGTTTTTGGGATCATTTCTCTTTTTTGATTTTTTTTGGGCCACTGACCGAGCCGCCAGTGGCCTCACCTTTTTTGGTGTGGATCGAGATTCCTAGCACAAGTAATGCTATTGGTATTTTTTCAGTTTTCCGGTGTCTTTGGTGGCCTTTGTTAATGTTCTTTTTTTTTTCCAATTTTTCCAGGTTGTTTTGTATGCTTTGTCATTTTTGTTGTTGCTGTCCATGTTGTTAGTAGTCTAGCCAGTGGTTTTTGTTAGTTGTTAATGTTGATTTATTATTATTATTATTATTATTATTATTATTATTATTATTATTATTATTATTATTATTATTATTATTATTATTATTATTCCTTTTTGTGTTATCATGGTTTTTAATTGTTATATGTTTTATGCCTGATTACATTTATAGTAATTTGTTTTTTGTTTTTTTTACCGCAACCATCTGGTGTTTGTGTGTGTTGTTTTTGTGTCGGGTTAAATTTCTTTTGTGGTCGTTGCTTACAATTTACCGTCCTATATGTACATGTACTAGGATTATATAATACGAGACCATGAGACGGGCTCTCAGCCTGGCATTGTTTAAATTAACTAATAGTACTAACCTGACGTTAATTTCGATAACAACACCAGCCCTAAACGCGTAGTTCCAACATATATCCGTATCTTTAATTCCTAAACCAGAATAAATGAAAAAGTCCCATTATAGTCTTAAGTTAAGAAATTTACCAAGTTACGTAACTGGGACCTGCCAGCCAAGCCATGCCTAGAGGTGTGTCTACTTTACGCTTGCTGATTGGTCAATTGACTTAAGAGAGTTACTTACCAGAGCGATAGTTCTCGACAATCAGCTGATTCGAACAAAATTCGGGAAAATGGCAACATCGTATAGCATATTTCGCACAGAAGAAGCTAAGAAGTATCTAACTACAAAATGGATTGGTCAGAACATTTTTTACAAGAAATGCACAGAGACTACAATGGATGATGCTGAGAGGTGTGCATTGGTTCTACGTAAGTATGTTTTAAAAGAAAGCAGAAAACAATGTCTGGTTGTTAACGCCATTAGGTAATCATTAGAGAACCTCCAGTATTTTCTGCACGAATGCCCAGATTGGGTAATAAATTATTTAAAAGACTTTTTAAATGTTTTTTTTTTAATTAAATATCTTTTTTTTGGTAAGATAATAATTTAGATTATTGTAAGATTGTATCTCAGTGCACAAATAATCCTTTGTGTTTAATTGAACGTTAATGTAGCTGCATTATTACATTTCTTAATGTTCTTATATGTACATAAAAAACTGTTTTACTGTTGCTGCTTACTTATAATTTGAAAAATTTCAATGAATTTCCCTCTTTTATTCCTTAAAAAAAATCTTTGTCAATCGAAGTCCGTAAATGTAAATAAAACAGCATATGGCTGACCCAGATTAGCATACTACGGGAGAACTTACTATTGTCGCGGTATTTGCTACTTTCGTGCAGTAGCAAATTAAAAGCAATTATTATTGAACTTTATATGAATTTTAAATCGAATGTGGGCAAAGGAATGTAAATATATAACAACTATTGATAATATTATTATTAAAATATTACTTATTTTAAAAAGTTTAACTTGTTATATTCTTACTTACATTGGAGAAGTATGATTATAAGCATTTTGTAAATTCTGGTCCAAATTTGATAACATGAAATGAAATTGTGACTTTAACCTTGTAAAGACATGTATGCCACCATCAGTATATGACCTATAATCATCAAACATCAGATGATATACTGAATATATTTTGTAAATGAAGCCAATGCAGGTGTAGCAAGTTAGACTGGAGGCTTGTATATGATGATCAACGTAAATGTATGCACTTTACAAAACAGTGATGTTCATTCCTTTTCATTGTACATTTATTAAAAAAATGTTGACATTTATGAGGAAATTGTGCTATAAGATATTTCCTTACTTACTGGCTACAGCTTTACATTTGCAAACAACAGCTACATGTCACATCCAAAATTATTTGGAAAATTCTGTTTGCTTCAATCATATAAAAGAGTCCAGAATAATACAGCATTGGAGATTATAACCAGTTTCAAGCAATAACCAAACTTGGAAAACTGAAAATATTGATCACATTGACCAGCAATACAGCAGAATAAAGATCTCAAGTTTAAACTTTGTTAAAGCTGTTAATTTTCTAAAAAAAATTCAAACAAAACAGTTCTTTATGGCACTTAAAATTGTATCTATTGTTTGATGTGTACATTATCTTCAAAACATTAGATGTAGTGAAAGATTT